AAAATATATATAACATTTATATATATATATATTAATATAAATATTGTTATTTTAATATTATATAATAATATTTACCATATATGCAATATAACTTCCAAGTTGAGCTTATTACAGGTTGTTTAGCTTGGGCCCTATCCGCTAAAGCCAACATTGGACTCCAAAAGTTTGATACCCAATTAGACTTCGGATATGATTATCCCTAATAATGTGAGGGCGTGGTGCATATCTCAACTAGACCTAACTCAAAAGAAAATAGTTGCTTGAGCCTACAAATTTATAGATTTAATCGGGTTAGGTTAAGTTATAAACGATTTGTTACTTTTTATTATTAATTATTAAAATATTTTAATTATTAAATTACTGTATTTATTTAAAATACCGTAATTTCTGGAAATTATCATATTTTCAGAAATATTGCTAGTTTCTTGGCTAAAACTAATTAAATGTAATTTTTCTGGTAATTAAATATAATTTTTTGGTAATTAAATGTAATTTTCTACTATTTATAGCTTAAATTATAATTATTGTTAATTACAGTTTAAAAATAATTATTGTTAATTATATTACTATTAATAATTAAAATACATTATTTTTTCATTATTATTCAGTATTTTTTGCAATAGAATACAATTAATTTATTTTTTTTAATTATTTTTAGTATTTTAATTAAACTTTAGGTTTTTTCAGGATTTTTGAATTTTTAATTAATTTTTGGTGTTTTTCATTATTATTCAGTAATTTTTGCATATGAGTATTTTTCAATAATTTTCCGCATTTTCAAGGTGGTTCTTCTATAGTCATCAGAGATGAATCTTCAACAGATGCAAAAACTGAACAGAGATGTATATCCTTGCCTTGGAACAAAAGCAAAAACTCAACAGAGATGTATCTACAGTCATCACAACCTCAACGAACTTAAGCAGGAATTGAGCAGTCATATCCATAGATTGCAGTTCAATAACTTGTGATAAAGTGCTTGTTTGAAGGCAGGCTGAAGCAATATAGACTTAGGATTTCCGAGGTGGGCCCCACATGGACAGCCTATAAGCTATGTTTGGTGAAAAATCCTAAAAGCCCAAATCAGTCATTAGTGAGTAGTGCACGCCCAGCTTGGTTGAATCTTCAACCCAGCCCTCTCAAATGGGCCCAAAATCAATTTTTGCTAATTTTCTTTTCATTGTTTTTTTGAACAGATTAAGAGGGATGAACAGGTCTCCAATGCTGGCCAAACCGCCCAGGAAGGGGCATCTGATGCTCCACAGTCTACCCAAAGCTCCCTCCAAGAAGCCAAGGAGAAAGCAACCAACTTCCTTCTACCCAAAGCTTGGTTGAATCTTGTTTCTTCTGAAATTTTTATTTTTATTCCCAACTCTTTCTGAGGTTGTTAGTTATGGGCCTCAACCAATTCTATTGTGGAAGTGGTTATCTTGATTGTTTCTTGTAAGAAGAGAGTGCTGCAATCTCTCTCTCTCACGGATAATGAAATTATAATTTTCTTCTTTTGTTTCTTCTCCCATAAATTAGAATGTTAGTAGGATGGATATGCCAATGTGCCTAATTAACATGTTAGATTTAGGTCCAATAAAATATTTCAATTTTTTTTCTTTCTTTGATGGATTTGACTTTGTTACTCTCTCTTCAACAATTAATTTACTCCATACAAAGATCCGATTTGATTAAGAAACTAACTGGATCCAAATGAGCCATAGTGTATATTTGCTAAAAAAAATAAAAGAAAGTGGTAAACTGAATTAAGTTTTATAATACAAATGGGTTGACGCAGAAATCATTCAAATATTTGGCCTTTTGGGCCACAAGGTGAGCAGGCCTAGAAAAAGTCTACGAATATACACAAATTTAATAGATAAGAAGGAAGCTAGAATTTTGAATTTTTCATGTAGGCCCTGACCAAGCCTTACTAGCATGGGCCGAGATTCTGAGCTTTCTGAGCTTGTAAACTAGGTGAAGAGAAGCAATTAGTAGGGCTGTTCATAAGAATGCCCAACCCGACCAAACCGACCAATCCGGACCAATCCAACCTGAGTCGGCTGGGTTTTCATCAGTACTGGTCGATTTCGGGTTAGGCAAATATATAAACCGATATATCGGGTTGGATTCGGTTTTCTTGTGTGAAAATCGAAACCAACCCGACCCGAACCGAACTAGTCTTCTACTAGTTCTGTAGTTCCTAGTTTGAGTAGTTTCCTACTTAACTATAACTATTCTTCTACTAGAACTGGAAGGCCCATTAGGCAATTACAATTAGAATAGGCAATCTATCCTAGTTTCTAACTTTCTATAATCTTTTACACCAAATAGGCAACCCATTAGGCAATTACAATTAGAATTCAATTAGGTGTCCTTTTGTACAGGAGCAAAACCAAAACCGACCCAAACCGACCCAACCCGACTCAAACCGACCAGGTTGGTTTGGCCTATCAGTGGGTCGGTTTCGGTTTCCACCTCAGGTAACCCGACCAGGTCGGGTCGGTTGGGAAAACCCCAATAAACCGGCTCAACCCGACCCGTGAACACCCCTAGCAATTAGGCATTCAGTCTTCTAACTTCCACTGATCTAAATATATATTTTACTCTAAAGATGACCATCTAAATATATATTTGACGAGCTCGACTGCATCTGCCTTCATCGTGGGCCAATAATAGCCTTGCCTTAACGCTTTCTGTGTGAGAGCTCTGCTCCCCAAGTGTCTGCCACACAAGCCTTCATGAGTGCCGTGATGTACATGCTTAGCATGTGAAGGTCACAAGCAGCGCAGGTAAGGGAGTGTGAAAGACCTCATGTACAGTTGTTCATCTATGAGGACGTATTTAGCTGACTAGCGCTCCACTCTTCGGGCTGTGTTATGTTATGCAGGTAGGGTCCCATGGAGCAGATAACCCACGAGTGGATCAATCCAGCTCGATTCTGCTTGTAATACGGGAGCGACCTCTTTTGCCCCCCTGAGATTGTTGGGCCAAGGTAGGTCCTCTATGTACACAGTTTGCATGGTGTTGTTGCTCGTGCTGGCTAGTTGTGACAAGGCATCGGCCTCAGCGTTCTTGGACATCAAAATCTGTCTGATGAAGTAGGAAACGAAGCTGCGCAGGATCTCTCTGAGTTTGGCCAAATAAACTGCCATAGTGGGGTCACGGGCTTCGAACTCACCAGTGACTTGGTTAACCACCAGCTGTGAGTCACTGCATACAATGAGGTGCTTGGCCTTCATTTCCCTTGCTAAGGTTAACCCGATGACCAATGCTTCGTATTTCGCCTCATTGTTTGATGCCTCAAATCTGAACCAGAGAGCATATTCCAGCTTCACCTCACTTGGGCCGTACAGTATTAGTCTTGCACCGCTTCCCTGTTGGTTAGACGAGCCGTCGACATGGAGGATCCAGGGCTCCTCGTCCCAGGTCGGTTCTGCTCCGACCGAGACTGACGCCGCACTGGTTGAGGCTCCCGTCGTGTGGTCGAGCTTGGTCAGCTCGGGGGTTGCTGTGCTAAACATGCATTCTGCTACAAAATCAGCCAAGACTTGAGCTTTGATCATTGGTCGAGGCTCATACCAGATATCGTATTCGCTCAGTTCAATGGACCACTTCGTCAATCTCCCAGATACCTCGGGTTTGAGTAAGATATGCCTCAGGGGTTTGTTGGTGAGAACGACGATAGTGTGGGCCTGGAAGTATGGGCGAAGTTTTTGGGCTGCTATGATTAGTGTGTATGATAATTTCTCAATATCTGGATACCTGGTTTCTTCATCTTGCAAAATTTTGCTAACATAGTAAATGGGTCGTTGGACCCGATCTATTTCTTTGATTAGTATCAAGCTAACCACCTCGTCGCTTGTAGAGAGGTATAACTTTAACACGTCCCCTTCTTTGTGTTGGGTTAAAACTGGGGCGGTACCTAAGTATCTTTTTAGCTCGTCAAAGGCAAGCTGGCATTCTTCAATCCATTCGAAGTCCTTACTCTTTTTTATCACTTTATAAAAGGGTAGGCACTGATCTGCCGACTTGGACATGAAGTGGCCTAGGGTGGCTATTCGACCAGTCAGCCTCTGAACCTCTTTTATTTTCTGGGGTGGTCTCATATCTAGAATGGCTTTTATTTTATCTGGGTTGGCCTCGATGCCACATCGATTGATTATATAGCCTAGAAATTTACCCGAAGTGACCTCAAAGACGCACTTATTTGGATTTAGCTTCATGTTATATCTTCGTAAAATTTGAAAAACACTCTTTAAATTATTCAATAAAAAATCTAAAAACTGGGTCTTCACGATCATGTCATCAACATAACACTCTATCTTATTGCCGATTAACGGCTCAAAAATCTTATTTACAAGGCGTTGAAAGGTTGCCCCAACATTTTTTAGTCCAAAGGGCATGACCTTGTAACAGTATAACCCGAGCTCAGTTATGAAGGCGGTCTTTTCTTCATCAACAGGATCCATCCTAATCTGGTTGTAACCGGAATAGGCGTCCAGGAAGCTCAGCAACTTATGCCCTGAGGTCGCGTCCACTAGGCGATCGATCTTGGGTAGCAGGAAGCAATCTTTTGGGCAGGCTCTATTCAGGTTAGTGTAATCGACACAGATGCGCCACTTGCCATTGGCTTTTTTCACCAAAACTGGGTTAGCCACCCATCTCGGGTAATGGACTTCCCTGATGAAGTCTGTCACGAGGAGCTTTCCAACCTCTTCATCGACTACCTTTCAACGTTCCGGGGCGAGGTTACGCTTCTTCTGCCTTATTGGCCTGACTAAGGGGTCGGTGTTCAATTTGTGAGTTATAATTTTTGAATCAATTCCGGGCATTTCTGTCGCGGACCAAGCAAAAACATCTAAGTTTTCAAGTAAGAAACTTACTAGCTGGGAGCAGAGTGGTTCGTTGGTCGAGGCACCGATCTGGAGAGTCTTGGCCGGTTTGTCAACGAAGACTGGTATGTGGACCATCTCCTCTGTCGGGGCAGCTCGCTCGTCGGTATACTTCGTAGGTCACTTGAGCTCGACATCCTCTGCTAGCTTTACTTTTCCTTTAAGAGCAGTTACGTAGCACTTGCGCGATTCGAGCTGGTCACCTCGCACGACTCCCACCCCGTAATCAGTTGGGAATTTCATCACCAAATAGTAAGTGGGCACTACCGCGCATAGAACATGCGTGATGGACCGACCTACTATGGCGTTGTAGGGGGAGGGAGTCGCAACCACCAGGAAGGTGTGCTTAAATCGCACGATGTTTGGCCACGTGCCGACTTCCACAAGTACTGTGACTCGACCAAGAGGTCTGACCTCCTCGCCGTTGAACCCTACCAAAGGAGTATCTATCGGTCTCAGGTCGCTTTGCTGTAACTGTAATTTATCAAAAGTCTCCTTGAAGAGTATATTTGCCGAGCTACCTGAGTTTACCAATATTCGCTTTACCTCAAAGTCATTAATTCGCAGCTTCACTACTAGGGCATCGTCATGAGGATACTGGATTCCGCGTGCATCATCCTCAGTGAAGTATATTGGTCCTTCAAGCCGAGGTCGCTTTGGTGGGTTTTCCTCTTCGTTCTCTAGCTCGTGGATCGAAGTCCTCCCAGTTGCTGATGTACACCTGGCAATGATGGACCCGTCGGTAATCATGTTAATTACCCCAAGGATCGGTCTTTCCTCTGGCAACTGCCGCGGTGGTTGCTCATTTTGCCTGCTGGTCTCGAGGGCATTCCTCCTCTGGTCCCCTTGTCGATCCGTCTGTCGATCTGTTTGCCCCCTCTCTTCCCTTAAGATGAAGTTCTTCAAGTATCTGCGTCGGATGAGTTCTTCGATCCCGTTGCGGAGATTCCTACAATTCTCTGTTTTGTGCCTGTGATCTCGGTGGAAATGGCAATATACATTTGGGTTTCTTGTTGCTGGGTCTCCCCTCAACCTGGGAGGTCCTTTGATGAAGGAGGAGTCCTTAATGGCCATTRGGATCTCTCCTTTCTTAGCGTTCAAAGGCGTGTAGCTCGTTCTCTCCACAGGTGGGGTCCTGGAGCGCCGAGGTGATTTGTGAGTTCGCGAGGGGGACCGGCTTCTGGAGTTGTTTCTTCCCCTACTCGAGGACTTGCTTTTCTTCCTCTTCTGTCCACCATTGCTCATTCCTTCATTCTCTTTCTTCCTCTTTTCCGGTGGTGGGTTGTCGACCTTCTGATTAATCTCCTCCTCGGTACCGATGAACTAGTCTACTAATTTAAGGAATTCAGTGATGTCCTTTGGTTTGTTAGTTACCATGTGCCACTTAAACTCCTTATGGGTGATTCCTTTCTTGGCTGTAGTAAGTCATATTGCCGGGTCAAGGTCTGGTATCTGCAGGCAAGTGTAATTGAAGCGCTTGATATAGCTTCTGATCGATTCTCCTTTCCTCTAAACCACGTTGAGAAGGCTTTCCTGCGACTTCGAACACTTCTTGCTAGTAATGAAGTGTGCGGTGAACAAGTTGGAAAACTGGGACCAGCTTTTGATGGAGCCCGGCGTGAGATTTCGGTACCAAGTTCGAACTACCCCCTTGAACGTAGTAGAGAAGGCCACACACATGCAAGACTTATCAGCCCCAACTAGGTGCATCTGAGACTGGAAAGAGTCCACATGGTCATTGGGGTCGAACGACCTGTCATACTTGTCTAATGGGGGCATCTTGAAGTCTTTTGGCATTGGAGTTGCCAAGAGCTCGGGTGACAGAGGGGATGACCGGCAAAGTAGTGGAGGTGCGGTCTTTGTAGCCACCGAGCTCGTTTCTTCCTTCCCTTTGGTTTGCTCTTCTCGCTGGCCTGGTTTCGCTGGCGGGCTGTTCCTGACCGAGGTACGACACGTTTTGCGACGTCTCTGTTGTTGTTTCTTCATTGGCTCGGTGTTGGTGCTGCTGACTTCAGTTTGATATGGTATTTCAGCCCCATCGTGAGGTAAATCCTGGTTTCTTGTGGGATTCTGGGGCTGGCTATCACAAGGGATGGAGAGGCCCTGTCTCGAGTTCACACCTAGAACCCCGAGCTAGTTATCTGCTCGTGATCCGTCATTCTCTTGTTGTGAGTACCGAGGCGGATTGGGCTGACTATCCCTGGACCTATTTCCAAGATTACCTTGCAAGATCGGCGGAGTGTGCTGATCGTCTCTCCTCCCACGGGGTGAGACCTGATTCTTGAGAAGAATCGGTACTTGTGAGGTCACTTTGCCCCGATGGGGAGATCGGCTGATGTTCTGGTTAGTCCTAAGCCGATTTGGGTTCTGACTATGATGGGCCCTGGGTGCCGAGGTGGAACCGGTTGCTGGTTTGGTTGTAGTGGAGGGAACTGGTGTTGATATTGTTGGTACTGTTGAAACTGTTGGACCTGCTACATCTGGATCTGAATAGCCCGGATGCACTAAACGAGGTCGTGAAATTGGGAATGCCCGGTTCTGGGAGGAACCATGGAGGGCTCAGAGAAAGTTGCGTATACCACTAGGGGAAGTTGGGCGCTCACTTTTGTAGTGCTCTGTGGTGCGAATAGTGATAGAACTCCCAACATTGTGAGCGGAATGGTGAACTGGCCGATGCACACCGTAAGAGCTTAGGGGAAGGTTGGTTACTGGGTTTGCCCCCCCAGTGATGTTCATCTCGACACTTTTCCCGGTGTGACTAGAGGATGCCATTGAGGTTGAGATTAAGCTTGAAATTGCAAAGGGATAGGGATGACCTTTCGATTGTTTCCCACAGGTGGCACCAATTGATGGTGCATGATTTGGCTACTCCTAGCTGGAGGATGATCTGAACTCTGATTGGATAGCGAGCTTGACCGATCTGCAAAACAGTGTATCAGAGAACCCGGGGTAGCTAACCCGGTGAGGTCGCTCTGATGCTTAAGTCACTAATTCTGCTGTGAATGCGAGCTGAATGCTTGAAAGCTTGAGTGCTAGTGAGTAGAATAATCACGTGTACCTATTCCTTGAGATTTCGAGTCTTTATATGCTGGAGTAGTCGTGGGCCTTAGGAAAGAGCTCCGGGTTCTCCGGGCTGTGGGGATAAGGTTAGTTCCATTTTTGAAGGAGAGCAGTATGTTGATAAGGTTTATCGCCTGTCTCCGATTCAGGCGGAACCGGGATGAGTTCTTATCGTGGTTTCAGGAAATTCGAGATCTGTTGGCTCATCGTGCTCTCAAGAGATTCGGGATCTGTTGGGGAGGCCTTTGGAGTCGGTTACGTGGTGTTACGGCTCATTAGCTCTGAGCTGGAACTTCGACTCTTTAGTCTCGAACTGGATTGGGTGCAGAGGTGCCTCTACACCGAGATGGATTTTAGGCCGAGGTGGCTGAATACCCGAACTCCGAATGTTGCGAACTAGGCTTGCCTGGCTGAGTTGTCATCCTTTGATTAGATCGCGCCTACATGTCCCCTTCTTGTTAGGTCATGCCAAATCACCCTTGATCACATCCTATAAAGCAAGCTTTCAACAACACTAAACATTGCTCAGTGTTCTGACCATCAGAACCATTATCCTTCACCTGTTAAGACCAGTATCCGCCATCTTCATAGCTTCACAAGCAACAAAAGATAATTCTAATTTGTCTAGTATGCAACCGTACCATCCTATTTTCTGTCTTCTTAGCTTCGGTTTCAGCCAGCTTATACAGTCTTGGGCACAACTCTTTGAACTTGCCAATCCCACTCCAATCATCCTCCCAAAACCTGATTCGGGTTTTATCTTTTTATTTTTTTTAATACTTGGAGCTTAATTTTATTTGGTGGGTAATCTGAACTGGGAAATTAATATTTTGTAAACTTTTCAAGTCCAATCCATGTACTTCTCTCCGAGTGCAAAAAATAAAAAATACACCAATCCAGCCCTCTAAACAAACACATCCAAAGAAAAGAAAATAATATTTAACCATTTTGACAATGAAACTCAAGTTGTTAACTACTTGTTGTGAATCTATGCTTTAAACGTGTATTGTTTTGCAGTGAATATTGCCAGGAAAATCAAGTAGTGTATTGTTCATATCTTGCACAAGTCCCAAGGATTACTAAATAAGATTACTCAAGCAAACAGAAAACATCATGAATCTAATGTGCAAGATCAAATAATCAATGTAATAACTAGATCATTAGATAAAAATTATAAAGCAGCTAAGCAACATATAAAATATCAACCGCAATCCAGGCAGCCGTCGTTCAAGCTCTCATCCTCTGCTTTGCACTGGTTGTTCAAAGACCAGGGCAGAACGGAACTTGAAGCAGAGGAAAGGTAACCAGGGCAAAACGGCCATATCTTTGCCATGCTTTGCCCTGGTTGAAGCGGGAAACAGAGAGAGGGTAAATCAGGGCAAAACGGAGCTTGACCGTTGGAATGCCTTACCGTCACACTGATTTGGTGCGACCCCGAGTTCTTATTTTTGGATCCTGTATTTTACCCTTTTTCTATCCCATCCCCCTATTTCCCCAAAACAAATAAAAGAAAAAGGAATATTGCTCTTTTCCTAATCCCATCCCACAAATCAAACGGAGCCGAAGCAAACCTAACTCGACAGTTGACACCAATGTTTCGAAAACCTGACCGGACCGGTCTGGATATACCCTCAAAACCTCTACGTTAAAAAACTGTGAAAAACGGTTCGACCGGCCGATTCAACCGGACAACCGGTCCCGATTTTGCTTAATCGGCCGGTTGTTTACATTCTGACTTAAAATTGGACCAAACAGGCCCTAAGGTCCAAACCGGAAATCCCAATACCAGCCCAAAACCGAAATCCCTTTTCGATCGATCTTCTATTCTTCTTCCTCTTTTCGTTCACCAGCTCACCACCGAAGACTCCCTCTCCGCCGATTCGCCGCCGACCGCCGGTTCTGCGGACGCCAGGTAGTCTCTCCCCTCCTCCTCTTTCTTCTTCAACTCTTTCCCAGCGGCGGCGGTGCTCTGTTCACCGCGCGACAGCTTCTCGCCCTTCCTAGTCTTCTTCTCTCTTTCCTTCTCCTCCTCCGCCTAAAGCCTGAAAAATGTGAATTGACTAAATTCTTTAATTCTGATTTCTACATTATGCAGCATTTACATTACATTTTGCAGCTTATTTTATTTTAAATTTTTAATACTTATTTTTTTTTTAATTATTGAACTTGAAATTAATTAATTACTCATAGCTTTCTATTGGGTTTTTTAGGAGAAGTAAAACAAAGGCTACGATGTTGAGGAGGAGATTGTCTTCCTTATTGGCAGCATCGATTCGCCATAGTTCGATATACTGCAGGGCAAACTTCAACTCTGAAACAATCTCGTCACGGTCTCTGTTGCAATCGATGCAATGCTGTCAGCCCAGATCTAACCCTGGTGAGGGTTTCTTTACTCAAGGAATTAGGGCTTACAGTTTGCTCAGCCTGAACGATCTTAGAGATAGCCAACCCAGGAAGCAGAAGAAAAGAAAAGGTCGTGGTATTGGTTCTGGTCTGGGGAAGACTGCTGGACGAGGTCATAAGGGACAGAAGGCCAGAGGAACCATGAAATTTGGGTTCGAAGGAGGCCAGACTCCTCTCCGTCGGCGATTGCCGAAGAGAGGATTTAAGAATCCTTTCACCCTCACTTTTCAGGTATTCTACATCGTTGTTCATTCCTTGTTCTTGTCTTTTCAGGTTCTAGGTCTGTTCTATTGGTTTGTTCCTTTCTTTGGTTCATCCATAATGCTGAAAATGTGGTATTTTTATCTTCTTCCCCGGTTCGGAAGAAGTAGAAGGGGAAAACTTGAATTGAAACCGAGGCCTGTAAACTCAGATGAAATGGTCATTCCAATCTCGTGTCATGAAAAATAAATATGGTCACATTAGGATGGTTATGTTCCTAGATGCATTCAAGTTTATCTTTATGAAAATGTTTCAAGATAAGTTGGACTAGGTCAGAGTACATGTATTGCAATTTTAGAGAAAATATTAGTAACAATGCTGGTTCAGTTATGGTTGATGATTAGGAAATGCCTAAATTAACCACCTCTGGTATCTTTGTCAATCATAGGGAGAAATTCAAGAGGGCATTGCCCATTGAACTGTAGCAGGGTTGAAGTGGATAAGTGTATCTGATGTGGTGTCTGGCCAACATATTTTAATTAGATTAAAAGGAAATTCTATAAGATAGTTATAAGACCCAACATTGATATATTGGGCAGAGTTCTGGCTAATCAAGATGTTTAAAAAATGAATGTGACTGATGAAGACATTGAGGATGAGTGGCAAGACTAGAAAGGAAAGAATCAGAAATGATATAGGGGACCTAGAATTAGTTCCAATTTGTGACAAGATGAAGGGAAGTTAAGTGAGATGGTTGGCATATGCATAGATGACAAATGAGTGTACCATCGAGGAGTGACTTGGTGCAAGTAGAAGGATCTAAGAAAGCAAGGGGAAAACTAAATGTGGATTTAAGTGGTAAAAAATTAACTAAAGATGTACAATTCGAGAAAAGCATGGATCTTGATAGAGAACAATGGCAGGTTAGATGGCTCTTGATAGAGCATACAATGGCAAGGTAGAATTTGTGTAGCTGTCCAAATGGTTGGGTTAAGATTGAGCTGAGTTGAAAAATTTTCTGTTAAAAATGCATAGTTGTATCACATCTGAAGTGAAAGTCACAAAATAAGACCAGAACAGAGCTAATGGAGAAGAGGGACAGTCCCACAAACTGTTGCCAGACACCGTTGCTCAGTAGGGCTGTTCATGGGTCAGTTCAGTTTGGTTTAACTTAATATTACCAACTGAACCAAAAATTTTGGGTTTTTTAACATAAACTGACACTGGCCAATCAAAGACAAAAACTGATAATTAGCATCTTATTAGATTGATATCGGTTTGATTTAAACCAAACTGAAAGCAATTTCATGCATTAATTGTTCTGTCATTTAAAGCTGACGTACTGATTATTAATTTTGTTTTCTTGTTTGAAGCAAACTCAGGCATATCTCTCTTGACATGTTTTTTTTTTTTTTTATATTTGACATTTGATAGCTTTTTTTATAAAAGTAATTCTATAGAGAAGAGGACGCAAGCTGTAAATGATTGGTCGATTTCCAAAAAAGGAGGAAGTTCACTCAAGAAAAATAGGGAGATGTTGAAGCTTTCTTGGGGTTTAAATGAGAAGGCGGGGAAAGGGGAGGGGGCAGTGAGGGGAGGAGGAAAAAAGGGGTAGGGGTGTTGGAAGGGCAGGAAAAGGGGGGATTTGTAGTGTTTCATGGAATTAAAGGTTTTTTCTTGGAAAGTGAGGGGCTTAGGGTTGGGGAGAAGGATGGTGGTTGTGACTTGTTGAAGACATGGAGGTTGGAGGTGGTGTTCATTCAAGAATCAAAGCTGGAAGTGGTGGAAGCAGAGATAACAAGAAGTAGCTGGGGATCTGGGGATGTTAGGTGGGTAAGCAAACCGGCTAGGGGGAGAACAGGTGGTTTAATCACTCTCTGGGACTGTTCGAAGGGTAAATAGCTAGCTTCTCACATTGGGAATTTCTCTGTTTCAGTGGTTTTAGAATTGGAGGGGGGGTGTGACTGTGTGAGGGGATTATTTACAAATGTTTATGGCCCTTAGATTTCAGCAGAAAGAGGAGGGTTGTGGGAAGACCTAGAAGAAGCGAGAGGATCCTCTACGGTTCCTTGGGTAATAGGAGGTGATTTTATGATTTTATTGTCACCAGATTTCTGGAGGATAGAAATGGTGGATAAAGTGGAGCGAGAGATAGGGGAGGTGTTTTGCAAATTTTGTCAATCAATTTGAACTTATTGATCTTCCGCTGGCAGGGGCTCAATACACATGGACAAACAACCAAGAAAATCCTGTTCTAGTCAAGCTAGATAGATTTCTGGTGTCCCTGGATTGGGAGGACCTATTCCCAAACCTGAAACAAGTGGCTTTGCCAAGACCGGTTTCAGATCATTCCCCGCATCAGTTAATATGTGTTGTGCGACACCGGAGAAAGTCTACTATCAAAATGGAACATGCCTGGTTTGAGGAAGAGGAATTTATTCCGCTGTTAAAAACTGTTTGGACTGAAACTTAGGTGGAGGGTTCAAGTTCCTTTGTGTTAGCAAGGAAATTAGGGGCAATTAAGGAAGCATTAAAAGTTGGAAGGCGGAGATTTGGAACAAATCAGAGGGAGAAGAGAGGTGTCTTGAGGAAGTTAAAGAGGTTGATTTAGCAGAAGAAAGAGGGCCCATTTCAGAGGAAGAAAAGAAAAAAAGGTTGGCAGCAAAATTGCTCTTGGACAAGCTAGCATATAATGATGAACTAAAGTGGAGACAGAGGGTGGAGGTGAAGTGGCTCAAGGTGGGGGATTGGAATTCCAGCTTCTTCCATAGAATGGTAAAGGCCAGAAACAGAATTAATAACATAGAAAAACTGGTATATGAAGGCATAGTGGGAGACTCTTGGCCAGTTATGAAAAGACTTGCTACAAATTACTTCTCGGTTCTCTTCACGGAAAATTGAAGAAGAAGACCTTTGCCAATGGGAATTAATTTAAAGAGGATTTCCAAGGAACAGAAAAGTTCTTTGAAAGCTCCCTTTTTTGAAGAGGAAGTGTGGCAAGTTATAACAAACTTGGAATCCGAGAAATCCCTGGATCCGGATGGATTGACAAACTTGTTTTTACAAAAGGTGTTGGGATGTGGTGAAATCAGATGTGATGCAGGTGTTCCAGGAGTATTCATGGGAATGCTGCCCTGGAAAGGGGCCTTAATGCCATGTTCATATTATCTAATTCCAAAAGTTGAAGGGGTGACCAATTTGAAGGATTTCACACCAATTAGCCTCCTAAACAGCTTTTATAAAATCCTGGCTAAGGTTTTAGCAGAGAGGTTTAAAAAGTTAATTCCTAATGTGATTTCTCAAAATCAGTTCGTTTTTGTTCCTGGTCGCCAAATGTTAGATAGTGTTTTGGTAGCAAATGAATTAATAGATTCAAAGGGAAGGGAAGGAACACCAGGCCTGATTTGCAAATTGGATCTAGATAAGGCTTATGATAATGTTAGCTGGAGATGTTTGGACTTTGTACCGGATAGGATGAACTTTGGGCAGAAGTGGAGGAATTGGATGAAAGTCTTCATCACCTTTCCGGTTTTCCCAAGTTCTCAATCCTCTTAAATGGTCAATTTGTGGGCATTTTTAAAATCTCAAAGGGGCTCAGACAGGGAGACCCTCTCTCCCCTTTGTTATTTATTTGTGTAATGGAGATTCTTACTTTGTTCAGCTAGCTAGGGAGGAAGGGTTGTGGAAAGGGTTTGAGATAGTGCCAGGAGGGGAAACGGTTCAGGTGTTGCAGTTTGCGGATGACATACTATGTTTTGTGGAGGCAAAGGAAGATCAGTTAGGAACCTTGGTAGGGATCCTCAGCTGGTTTGAGGTGGTGACAGGGCTGAGAGTAAATTGGAACAAAAGTAGCTTGGTCCTGGTGGGGAAGGTGGATAATTTAGAGAGCTTGGTAGAGACTATCTTGTCAGGTAGGTTTTTTACCTACAAAATATCTAGGACTCCCTTTACGAGCTAAATGCACCTCAGAGGCTGATTTGGGAACCAGTTTTGGATCAGTTAGAAAAGAAGTTGGCATCTTGGAAAGCAAAGTATCTGTCTTTGGGGGGTAGAATCACTCTCTTAAAGAGCTCTCTGACTAACCTTCCTGCTTTCTACCTCTCCTTATTTCCAATCCCAGGGAAAGTGGCCCAAAGAATTGAAAGACTGCAGAGGGATTTTATGTGGAGAGGATGGGAGGAAGACAAGAAGAGAATTCATTTGGTGAAATGCTCACTGCTCACCAAAAGAAAAAGGAGGGCTGGGAATCAAACGGCTCAAAGTTTTCAACAAGGCGATGCTAAGCAAGTGGATCTGTTGATTCGGAATGGAAAGGAATAACTGGTGGAGGACCATAATTGCAGCGAAATCCAATACAAACAGTGGAGACTGGATAGCTTCTTCTCCTCTCCCCTCTTTAGGCTGCTCTTTGTGGAGGAAAATTATGGATTTTTTACCAAGTTTTAGCAGAGGCTTAGCTCTAAAGATGGGAAAAGGAGACTGGTTGGCTTTCTGGAAAGATATTTGGTGTGGAGAAACTTCATTATCAGAAACTTTCCCTCAGTTATTTCATCTTGCTGAGAGCCGAGACGTGGTGGTGGCAGACTATTTTGAAGTTGTTGGTAATTCTGTTGTTTGGTGTACTTTTCGAAGGAACTTTCAGGATTGGGAAATTACAGCTTTAGCAGAATTATTTGAGCCGTTATCCATGCAGTCTTCTGAACTGTCCAAGGAAGATAGTTGGCATTGAATTTGGAGCTCAGATGGTCTTTACACAGTTAAATCATTTGCCCTCCATTTGATGGCAAGCAAGTTGGAGGGCATACCTGCATCTAAAATCTGGAATCCATCCCCCCCTCAAAAGTTAATGCCCTGGTGTGGCCTTCAACTTTAGACAGATGTTTGACCAAAGCTCACCTTCTCAGAGGAGGCATTCAACTCCTGGATTAGAGGTGTGTACTGGGTGGACACATGGTGTTGAGGATTGCTACCACCTGTTTATTCACTGTCCTGTTTTGGTTAAAGTTTGGAACCACTATTTCTCTGCACTAGGCCTTGCTTGGGTAATGCCTGGCTCTGTAATCAGCTGCTGTTATTTGGAAAACCATTCCAGCTGCTGTAATCAGTACCGTTTGGACTGAAATGAACAAAAGGATATTCCATAATATTGCTAGAACTCAGGAGGATCTAATTTTGTATTCAGTTGGAAAATTAATCCCTTGGATGTCGGCAACTAAAGGGATTCAGACCTCACATTTGGGGGCTAGACTGAATTCTAGTAATTTTTGGGAGTTGTAATCCAGGGGTTGTAATGTTGGGACCCTGTCAAGGTTTTTTCCTTTGGGGATCCCTTTGTATCTTATTTCAATATCAATAAAATTTTACCTTGCCTTTTCTCAAAAAAAAAAAAAATCATACAAATGTTAGTATGCAGAATGTACAAACTTTGTAATTGTAGGCCCTTTATATAAGCCTTTTACTTGGCATATTGTCAATTTTTATGACTGGTTCTATTTGATGGACTCAAATTTGTCAAATATGACAATTTGTTTTCTCCTTCGGGTGAATGTAATACAAAAACATGACGATTTATTTCTGGATTTGTAAAAAAGAAATGACCAACTTAGAGATGTTAGACAAGAAAGAAATGACCGACTGAGAGATGTCAGATAAGTACGAAAAATAGTTGCTGACAGTCTCTTTTGGTAATATTCCTTTATAATAGCCTAATAGCCTAAGGTTTCATATGTATATCGGTTGGGTCGGTTTCAATTTGAGTTTCAAATACGTAACCTGCAACCAAACCGAAGCGTCGGGTTTTGACATTTTTTAAACCGAAACCGACCAATTTTATTTTAAAACCGATTATCTCCGATCGAGTCGGTCCGATTTAATTGGTTTTGTCAGTTTATAAGATTTCATGAACAGCCCTACTGCTCATTAGAAGATAATTTGTCAAGGTAGGCATGATGGATGCATATGAGACTTAATACAGAGTTTAACACTATATAACCCTTATTCTGTATGAACTCTTTTACCTTTCCTTTTTTATGCAGCAAGTTAATTGGGTAAAAACGTATTGTAATATTAGTCAAAATAATTATATATCTTCTTTCGTGTATAGTTTATGTTCTAGTTCTACATGGGACATATTCAGATAGGGAATATACTAAATATCGTGGGAACTGGCATACTTTAACAGTCTTGGAGGGTGAGAGGATCATCTAGATCTTTAGATATGAAAGTGGCCTACAGACATAGATAACTTGCTTAAGTTGGGATTTTTTAAGACTTTTAACTAATCCAACAACAATTTAAGATCCTGAGGTAGTTAGGGTCTTAGGGGCCATTGCTTGGTGCAATGGGATATCTCAGGCATTGATAAAAAAATGCTGAATCTCAGGTTGACAACTTTGAAAGCATGGGTTTGAGTCTTATAGTTGTCTTGGTGCACAGAAATGGTAAGGCTAGGTTCTTATGCAATCCACTCCTCACAAGACCCCTGATTCCAAGACCAATATTGGGTAGTAGCCCTTTTTATGTTGATCTTGTTTGTCCTACAAACATTATAGTGATAAAATTACCCAATGTATGAGCCCTGAAAACATAGAATTCCCTCTGCCAAGGATTAAGGGCTCGGTTTGGTAAGTAGGTTGTTCATCAGCAAATCTGATTTAGTCTCCCTTGAGGAAAGCTCTTATTTGTTTGATGTTCTTTGTCTGAGTCTTTTGCGTGAATGTGGCCAACTTATGTGTTAACTGAATTGAATATTACCTAATTCTTTTTTTAGCTAACAAACTTTTCTGAGTATATTTAAAAATAGGTGGCAGAGAACAAAATCTAGTTATTGATAATAAGAACAATAATAAAGAGGTTTACCATGATACATAGACCCATGAAACAAAAAGTAGAGAAAGATGAGTGTGGGGGTGGTAAGCACAACATTTTTTTAATAAATGAGTGGTAAGCACAACATTGATCGGATAATTAAAATCTTGACCTTTTCTTACCTTAATAACCTAGGAACCATCAAGCTCTTTGGATTGGACAGAATGTTGTTTAAGATTGTTTCAGTATTTCCCACATTTATTGGAGTTTGGATTTCCCTAATAGGTCAATTAAAACACATAATAAAGTAGGGCGCCAGAAAATGTTCAGCAGCCTTTTTCCATCTGTGTCCACTCACTGTATGCGGTCTCTATCCACTAGTGCCTGTTACCTATCCCACTTGAGTGATTCATATATTCTATTATTACAATCCTGTTCCATGGGAGACAACCCTCAATACAACAAAGTTCTTTACCCTTGTCTTGCCAGAGTGTCAGCCATGATATTAGCTTATCTTTGCATCCTATTGTATATTACTCCTAACTCCCTATCCAAAGATTTTTCTTCATTCTCAATGGGAATTTTGTATTTGCCTGTACTTGTGCTTGTGGTGAGATGCACCCTCATTTATCTTTCTCAGTGTTTTAAAAGCCATTACTGGGCACAAAGACAAGTCCTATTTTAAGTTTAAGGCATGTGCCTCGCTTGAGTGCAGGTGTAGCCCCTCACAAAAGACGTGTTCAACAGTCCAGGTGCATGCTTTTTATACATGCCTCTTTTGCAGAATTTCATGTGTTTTACACCTTTGTAATGGTTTATCAATTTCTGGATTACCTTTTATTGTTGTTTGTGCACTAGCAATGGTCTATTGATTTTTAAATAAACAAAAAGAAAGATCTTTCAAATACATGGAGCTTTAGTTCTTTGAAAATAAGATGTCAAATGGCAAAATTTCCACCAAAGAAGTAACAATGATTTTTTTATTAGTCTAAATAAGTAACACCAATAGAACTAATATCGGATAATCCTAAAATAGAATGAATTGTGACTAAAATCACAAAACCAACTCTTTTGGGCCAAAAATTTAGGTTGGTGTTGCTCCAAACTCCTGCATGAACTTGTTTGGGCTTGCATCAAGTGGCCTTTGTGTTGGTAGAGAGACAATCTCTTAGGATCAAGAATGGAACATGTTTGATATCACACTAACCACTTAGAATAATGCAATCAGGAAATGAACAGATTAAATTGTTAATCAATAAAACAAATTGAAAGTTTCACATGCTTGAATTGTTGAGTCCTTGGAGCACTTCATTATGATCCACATATGTTTGGTTTCACTTCCATATTTTCACTTTGAATATCCTTTATATGTCATGCTTATGTATTTTAATTTGAGCCAATATGCTTTTTAAAACATTTAGCTTCTTTTAAATATTATCAAGTTTGCATTTTTTATGTTATTACTATTTTTTTGTGTTCCAATCATCAACATCTACACCTTGTCCCATCTATATGGGGTTGGCTACATGAATCCTGTTTTACATTCTGTTCTGTTCAGCGTCGTATCATCAACATATTATGGGCACTTAAATAATTTCTTATTGCTCTTTACTTTTTTAAATATTTTTAAAGAATTTGCACCTTGCTTCAAAAAGGCACACACCACACCTTGTGCCTCAGGTGCTAGGTGCTTGACCTCTTCTTGTGTCTTGTGCTTTTGGAACATTCCTCTTTCTCTCTCTCTCTCTCTCTCTCTCTCTCTTATACACACAATAGTTGACTGTGGTATGCCCCTCTGCCTGGGTGCTTGCTCCAACTTGGTGGATTTTGTTCTATTAACTTATAATGTGGTCATTGCATTTGAATGATTAATTCTTATTTTCTTTTGGCAGCCAGTTGGGTTGGGAAAGATTGCAAACCTTATAAATGCAGGCAAGATTGACTCATCAGAACTGATTACAATGAAAACTCTCAAGGTACTGAATCATCCTTTTCTAGTTCTATGACTTACCTTACAATTTATGGGCTTTGGTTGGTACTGATTGTTATGTCTCTATAGGATGCTGGGGCAATTGGAAAGCAGATAAGAGACGGAGTCAAATTATTTGGACGTGGTGCTGAGCAGATTGAATGGCCAATTCATCTGGAGGTAATAGTCACTAACAACATGCAGTTTCAGCAGGCATCTTGTCTATACTGCTTAATTCCTCGTCTTGCCTTACTTTTTGGGTTTCAATTGTTTGTTTTTTTTGCTAAAGTCTTGATGGCCCATTGGGCAAAAAAATAGTTGATTGAATTGTTTTTATTAGATGTTCAAACTATTTTTATTTTCTTGGAATGATAAAAAAGATGTTGATAAAATAATAGTAGCCTGGGATTTATAGTTGGGAATATATTGGTCTAGATTAGGACTGGTTAGAAAATAGAGAGAGAAAATAGGGAGGCTGAGGACCCTCTATGATTGAGTTATATGTTCCAAATAGAAGAAAACGTAGCCCCATTTGGCGTGTCTTTCCGTGCGGGCTGTTGGCTGTTTAAAAGCCCGGCAACTTGTGATTTCGTCTTTTCCCGTTTGGTTGGGGGAAGATCTAGTTGCCAAAAGATTCCTCCCTGAAAAGACGCGAGAAGCTAGAAATGGAGCTTCTCGCCTTTGTTCGTCTCATCTTTGCGTGGAAAGATGTGCCTCCAACCAAACGGTTTGTGGATTGCCAAGATCTTTATGTAAAAGCCCAGTATGTCTTTTGGTTGTCAAATCTTCCAGAAGATCTTTTAAAAAAGACTTGTCAAATGGTACCATAGTATGCTCATATGTTGGTCCAATTTTAAGTGTCCATACAACATGTAGAGCATGGTTGTCAAAATGTTGTGATTAATGTTGCATGAACACTTCTTTCAATTATCCAAAAAATGTTGCATGGACACAGACATGGGAATCAGAATTGGGAACCTGACATGGGTTGGTCTCATGGACACATTTATGGAAGAATATAATTTTAAAATAGTTTGTTTTTTTTTTTCATTATAACATTATATATCTGCAAAAAATGTTGCCTTGTTACTACATAATGCTTGATACAGAAAATTTCGTTCATCTTGCACATTAGCCATCCATCTATGTCAAATAAGATGGGAGATAGAAAGGAAGAGGTATGCATAAGTGTCTTCAAGAATCTGTGTAGTTTTAGACTCTGATGCATGTCTGACATTCACAAATCATCTAAGAGTCCATTAACACTGTATTTAAGGGGGTAGACAGGCCTAAGACCTACCCTGACCTATTTTTGAAAATAAAAAAAAAACAAAAAAAAAAAAGATGGGTGCAAGGTTCAGAGTACCATACACCCCTTGCGCTGTATTGGGGTGTATCAATACTTTGAACCTTAGTTTGGATGAATACAATTGACACCCAATTCCTTACTAAAAAAATGAGACCTAATTCTCTACTTCGTTATTCCTTTTTTTTATTTTTGTTCAAGTGACACTTATTTTAAAAAGCCTTTCTAGAAAAAAGATTTATTTAGGTTATTTAAGACCTATTTAGAAAAACCTTATTGAGTTTACTTTTCATCATATGTAGATTAAAGAGCCATTTTATGTAGGTCAAGTGACCTTGAAGTCAAACTTAAGTATATCATTTTATGTTCTAGTGTACAACTGAAACTTTTTTTTTTTAATTTCTTTATTTTTATTTTTTATAGGAAACAATAACTTTCATAAAGATTGGATATAATTTGAAGGATCCAAAGGTCCAATCCCTTAAACTAGGGATTCTGACTAAAGGAGTAAGAGGTAGAAGCAGTTGGAAGTTGAACCGACACCTGCAAAGAAGAAGAAAGTATTTCAAAATCTTTTGAAAATAAAAAAGAAAGAGGGAAAGGGCCATCCTTTGTCGAGGTAATTAAAAGGGGGCAAAAAGTGAGCCACCGTGGTGTCCACAAAAAATTAAAAAGCCAGTAAAAAATCGGTCTGAACCAGCTGGAGATCGAGTCAAGCCAACCCCCTCTGTAAATCAACCGCAGGGGAGCGAAGGAGCAAACCAAGCCTTATGACCTTGTTATTAGTCATGTGGGTGGGAAAAAAAGGGGGGCGCAACAACAAATCAGGTCTATCTTCATCCCCAAAACAGAGTTTTTTGAAGACTTCTTCATTCAGGTCTTCTACCAGACAAGGTATGCAATGGATCCCAATAAAAAAAGCTAGAAAGATGAACATTGTAGACAGGTCCAAAGACAGACGGAATCCTCACTATGCAAGCAAGTGCACAGATGATAATGAAGTGGAGGATGGTGGTTGGGTGGACTTGGAGCTGTCAGACGAAGAGGACAGTGATACTAAAACAGAAACTGTGGATTGGAGTTCGGAGGACGAACATGAACAGGAGAACGAGGGTGAAATATTGGGCCACATTGCCTTGCTCTTTGGGGATGAGATAAACAAGGAGACTTTTACCCAAAACCTGAATCATCCTGGGATTGGGAAAGGTGCAACGAGACTGAATGCAGCCTGGAAGTTGGGGAAGAAACTCTAGACCATTACAAAGGGAAACCAGGCCAAATATCGGAAGGTCAGCCGGATGGTTGTAAGGAAATAGTGAATAATCACCGGAACCTTGTCAAGGAGAATCCTAATGGGGATAAGCGATAGAACTACAAGAGGAACCATGAGTTTACATCAGTATCCTAATTCTGGGATGATTAGTGAGCCCCAAATTGCAGATTGTGGCTTCACAAACCAAGCTCCTAGCGCCTCTCATATGCCTTCCTCCCCTTCTAAACCGGGTCTATGTGTAAGTTCTGTTTTGGGTACAAATAGTTGTTCTATGTCTATTGCCTGTTTTTCGGATCCTAGGTTGCCATCAAGCCACAAGCCCAAGTTGTTGGTGATGAAGAAGAGGTGGGGTTTATTGATCAAAAAAAAAAAAAAAAGAAGAGGTGGGGTTGAGGGACAGAGAAGGGGAAGAGGAAAGAGGTTTAAAAATTTGGGAATTGATACAAGAGTTTCTTGAAGAATTAAAGAGAAGAATTACATAAGGAAGGAAGAGACAATGAAAATTTACATGGTGAATCTCCTTCAATAAAGTTAAAGACGGGGGAGGAAAACATTGAGGGGAGAGAGAGAGAGAAAGAGAGCTGAAGGAAAGTGGGAAAGAAAGCGTTAGGGAAGATTCAATGGCGGATCTTGTGGGAAAACTTGGGTGTAGAATTCAGAGGGAAATGCGAGAAAGTAAGAAGAGGGAAAGGTAAGAAAGAGGAAGTTGAGTGAGGTTGAAAGACTGAGATTAGATGTGGAGGGTGATAAGGAATTTAGTGAACGAAAGGGGAGGAGGGGAGGAAGCAATTAGGGGTAACACTTAGGGGGAGAAAGAAAGCCACTTAGAAATGAAGCTGATTAGTTGGATGTGGGAGGATTGGAAATGCGAGAAAGAGATCTTTGATATGAGAAGTGTTGAGAAGATCCAGACATAGTAATCCTTCAGGAGTCTAAGTTACCAAATTTTGATGCAAGGTGGTTTAGAAGTGTTTGGAAGGCTAGGGGAATAAGCTGGGCAATGTCTCCATCTTGGGGCTCTTTAGGAGGTATAGTGACATTATGGAAGAATGAGGTCCTAGAAGGGGTGAAAGAACTTGTTGGTAGATTTACAGTGTTCGTAAAATTTCGACAGTTGGTAGATGGGTTCGAATGTGTTCTGACAAACATTTATGGTCCCAATGGGTACAGACTACAGAGAAAGAGAGGAGTTGTGGGAGGAATTGGGAGATATTAGAGGGTTATGGGAAGGAACTTGGTGCATAGGTGGAGATTTCAATGTAATCAGATTTGTAGAGGAGACAAACAACCTGAGGCAAAGAGCTACAGTGAGTATGAGGAAATTTAACGAGTTCATTAATACTTTCGAACTAAAAGAATTGCCTCTGTTGCATACCAATTTCACCTGGTCTAACCTTCAAACAAACCCTATTTGCTCCAAACTAGATAGATTTTTGTTTACTGTGATTTGGGGAAACCTTGTATCCAAAGCCTTGCCTAGGGTAACTTCCGACCATTGGCCTATTTCCATTGCCAAAGGAGTGGGTGGTTGGGGTCCAACAATGTTCAGATTTGAAAACATGTGGTTGTGTCACCCAGGTTTTGTTGAAAAGATAAAGGAGTGGTGGGCTGAGAGTGACCCAAGTGTCAAATGGGAAGGGATGAAATTTCACTAGAAGTTAAAGGAGCTGAAATCTGAGATCAAGGAGTGGAACATTCAACAGTTTGGTAGGATCGAAGAGAAAAAAACAGGAAGTGATAGATAGAATTGAGGAGCTGGGCAGCAAAAAGAATGAAGGGACTTTTGAGGAAAGGGATAAGGAGGAAAGGTGAACCTTAAGGAAGCAATTAGAAGATCTGTTATATAAGGAAGGAGTAAGTTGGAGATAGAAGTTCAGACACAAATGGGTGAAGGAAGGTAACAGGAATACAAGGTTCTTTCATGCTATGGGTAAAGAGGTGTGCTAATGAAGCCTCTGAGTGGTAGCTGAGAGGGCGGAGATTCTGGGTTGTGTAACCTCTGAGTGGCCTATAAATTATCTGTGTTTGCCTTTAGGAGATAATCCCAGAAATAATATTTTTTGGAACCCGGTGGTGGATAGGTTCACTAAGAGACTAGCTTCGTGGAAAAGGAATTATCTTTCCTTTTGGGGACCATGATTAAGTCTACATTGACCAACTTGCTAGTTTACTTCTTATCTATTTTTAGGATCCCGGAAGGAGTGAGTAGGGTGTTAGAAAAATTGATGAGAGACTTTTTGTGGGAACCAGGGGAAGAAAAAAGGGATCATAGAGTTGGGTGGGAGGTGAGCACTAGAAGGAGACAGGTGGTTTGGGGGTAGGAAATACTCAAAGGAGCAATGAGGCACTACTTGGAAAATAGTTGTGAGCATTCATGAGGCACTACTTGGAAAATAGTTGTGAGCATTCATGAGGCACTACTTGGA